ATGCTTTCTAGTTTTTATATTGCTTAAAATATAGTTTCATAAAATGACAGGGATGACTGAAGATTAAGATTCTATGATGGCCAAGACCACCATTGTCCACCCCCTGCCTTGAATATCTTACACCAAAAACATTAAGGTTTACTGCGTTCCCTGTTCAATTGATGTTGTGAAAAATATTCATCTTGAAAACTACAAACATTTATTATTCCAATGTGTTAGTGATGTTGGACATCACTCCACGGCTTGTTTTGTATATTTTTTCAGATGTCTTTAAAGTTTATTAAACTTGCAGCAAAATCATTTGTATTGTTTCTGTTTCTCAAGTTATGAGTTTTTCATATAGGTAATTGAGTAAGCAGACAGAGTATAATTATGTGCCTTTAACATTTTAAATGTGCTCTTTTTCCAGTGGGAGGAAGTGAGCATTATGGATGAAAAGAACATCCCCATCCGGACATACCAGGTGTGTAATGTCATGGAGCCAAGTCAGAATAACTGGCTTCGCACTGACTGGATCCCCCGTGGAGGTGCCCAGCGTGTCTACATTGAGATCAAGTTCACCCTTCGGGACTGCAACAGTTTGCCAGGGGTCATGGGAACCTGCAAAGAAACCTTCAACCTTTACTACTATGAGTCCAACAACGACAAGGAACGCTACATTCGCGAGAACCAGTTCAACAAGATCGACACCATCGCTGCGGACGAGAGCTTCACTCAGGTGGACATTGGCGATCGCATCATGAAGCTGAACACGGAGGTCCGGGATGTGGGCGCCTTGACCCGGAAGGGTTTCTATTTGGCCTTCCAGGATGTTGGAGCCTGCATTGCTTTGGTTTCAGTAAGGGTCTACTATAAGAAATGTCCCTTATCTGTCCGTAACCTGGCTCAGTTTCCTGATACCATCACTGGAGCTGATACGTCCTCACTGGTGGAAGTTCGAGGCTCATGTGTGGATAATTCAGAGGAGAAGGAGGTTCCTAAGATGTACTGTGGCGCTGATGGAGAGTGGTTGGTGCCCATAGGGAACTGCCTGTGCAACCCTGGATATGAGGAGCGCAATTCAGAATGCCAAGGTAAAGAACTGACATTTATCTGTCGCTGTCCTAAAATTATTTTGTCCTCATTTTAAATGCATAGACCAGTCTTATTCTTCAAACCCTAAGTACCCTTACAATATCCTGTCTCCTCCATCTGCAGCTCTTTGTCTTCATCCCATGTGTTTTGTTCTCTTTGTCCTTCCTTTTCCTCCCTCAATTTAACCACCTTGCACTCTGTTGGATGTTTTTATGTCCTCAATCTCTTACGATTCTTTCCAGCATGTGGCTGAAGCAATGGAGGCAATGATGACTGTAAATGGAGTAATTAGCAGGCCCACTGGGAGGTGTTGTGCTCAGGGACGTATCCCAAGAGAATTGATGAAACTAGGAGAGGGGGGTAGAGTTCCAATCGGTTTGCACCACCGCTGTGTTTTTCACCCCCACTTGTTCTTTTTTCCAGTTTCCAATGGAGGCCAGAGCTGAAAAAAAGAAACAGCTTTAGAGAAAGAGAAGGAGAGAGAAAGTTTTATAATTCAAAGCATGTGTCAGAGAAGTGAAAATGCACTGCAGTGAGATGGGGATGAAACTGTGCTTGTTTGGTTGAGGGAATAGCCTTTTTGTGGACAATTATTCTAATTCCAGTCTGCTTTGATTCCACACCTGGCACTTTGATAAAGATTGAAGGTCATCTTGGGTTGCTTCCTTCAAGGTTTGTTTCAATCTTATCCATAATGGTGCCTTTAAGATACCATTATATAAATGGATCTTGCAAGTGCATGTTTAAATGTATGTGATCAAAAGGGTCAAGCTGATCAGCTGGTTTTGGTTGTCAGCAGCAAACTGGTTGATCCACTCTGAGAAGGTGCTATTTAAGAGACTGAGCTGAAAACAGCACCTCAGACTGAGGAAGTCTCTTGGATGAGAGACGAAACGTTTCTAGATTTTTTTGCTTTGTTTTGTTTTTTGTTTTTTTGAATGTCCAGCGGACCAGATTGAACTTTTTTGGAAAAGGGTCAAGGTTTTTTTTAAAGCTCTTAACTTAAATTAACTCACTTTTTTGTAGTCCACAGTGGATAGTAGCTCAAGCTGCATGCCACTGTTTTGTCATTAGCTTCCAGTAGAGCCCAGTAGCTATTTTGTCAATGATGTTAAATGTTTTGCTAGTCTGAAGTGGATGCCAATTTTGCCTTGATGGGTATTAGTATACACCTCCTGCAACCCCATCACCACCACTCAAAAAAAGCGAGTGGGCTGCAGCAGTGAGGGGTCAGAGGCTGGGCACGAGTGATTAACAGAGAGACGGACCACTACACCTCTCCTAATTTACAAGAAGCTTTTATTTTGGTGGTCTAATTGCATGACAGACAAGTCTAGTGGTTTAGGGGTACCACTGTCTGCTTGGGGTATGCACGGAAAAGGAATTCAGACAATCACAGATGGGTCTCTGGTTGTACTTATATGGGTTTTTGTCTTAAAGGGATCACATGAGTTGCTTTTCTTACCAACTTTAGATGGATCTGGTCAGGTTTTATTTTGTAGATGACTTAAAAACGGGTGGGGATAGAAACTATTTAAAAAGTTGTTGCTTTGTGCTATTTTCTTTTGCATTAAGTTAAAGTATCTTCTAGTTTTTCAAAAACACTTAAATCCACAATTTTAACCAGTAGACTTGCATTTAAGTTTTACTTACATTTTCAAATTTGCCTCCTTCTTAGTTTATTTCCTATTAAGATTAATAGCAATAGAAAGAAAGCAATATGGATACTGATTCATTGATTGCATGAGTATATTTCAGTGTCTTTGAATTTGCCAGCATTATTCTGGCATTGCTGCTTTCAAAGCTGATGTATCCATTAAGTTCACATTTCACTGCATCTGCTTGATTGTGTTTAAGTTAACAGTGCCAGACACTCCATTAGCATTTAGCTTCAATTGCAGTATTCACATAATATGCATTCCACATTTCACAGCAGTTGGACTCTGGTTCCTTTAGGTGCAGTTTCTGGCATCAGTGTAGAAGAGCTCCACTGACTTAAAGGTTAAAAGGTGCTGTCCACTGTTGGACCTCAAGTGCACTGATGAGCTGGTTAATAATCCCATGAGTGACAAGCTTTTATGGGAGAGGGGCTCCATTCCAGTCTTCCCTGGACATGTTGACCAAGAAGCTCAGACAGAAGCTTGTTTTTTTTTTGTTTTTTTGGGGGGGGGGGGGGCGTTTTCATGGGTTCATGGGAGAGCTTTATAGTTTTGTTCTGTTTACTATTTTAGGCAGCAAGTGAATAAGACTCTATACTTGGTAGTTTTGTAGGGTTAGATACATACATTTGTTTTGGAGGTGTACAGAAAACATTTATATGAAAGTGTGTGTTTGTAAACTTGTGTATCTGTGCTTGTCTTGTGTATGCATGGGGCTACAAGGGCACCTTTGCTCCTGGTTCCCAGCCGTGGATGAATGGGATCCCCTCCATCATTGTTTGGGGCAGCAGTAGAGCCGACTGTGGAAGGTGATGTTTGGGGAGAAAAGTGGGGAGAGGGGAAGCTGACGAGACACATAGAACTTGTATTCTTCTCCCCTGGCAGAGGTCAGAGGTCACTCCCTTCTGCATCCATCTTACTGCTGTGTCTGACAGGGTCATGGATCCAGGATTGATTAAGCCGTCAGGGTTTTGACAGCTGCAGCGGTGTAGTGTGCATGTGCGTTCATACTCAAAGTGCACCAAGGGTGACGAGGGTGTACTCCCAGGGCCAAGGGCCCCCTGATCTTAGGAGAGGGCACTCTGTCTGTTTGTATTTGGGATCTGTTTCCCTGTTAACTACCTTCCCCCACATGCTTAGTGGGTTTCAGGGAGAACTCTCACTTCTCATCGGGTGAGGGGGTTCCTACAGTTAGACCTGCAGTGTTGATGAGGTGGTGGGAGAATGAAATGAGGGAAAACTTTGGACGTTATTACACAAACAATATTTATGTTCTCTGCCTTATTTTACAATAACAAAAAAAAACCTTCAGGAACTTTTTACATCATGAGCAACAAAGTGAGAGGTTAAAAAAACAAAGCCAGGATTGAGACACCTTCTGGTTATATCAGCACAAATTCTGAATGAACTGAAGAAGCATGTGGTCTTGAAGCAACCAACCACTGTTGCACCTTCAAGGTGTCAAGAGAGGAGTTGTAACAGTAAGCGTGAAGTGTGAGTTAGTCTGTCTGCAGGTTTTACTACCTAAAATACAATAAACTGATTGAAGATGCACAGCAACTTATAGTTGGAAGAATCTGGTTAACCAGAAAGGGGATCATAAAAACGATATGACGGAAAGCTCCGTCACACATTTAATGTATAGTGCTCCATGTCAATGCAGCTGAGATGCACTGCTTGAAAACTCACGTCTAAGCAGGCTGCAGCTGGCATTTTAGTGACTTATAAACAGTTAGAGGGAACCTAAAGATGGACTAATATTTGTGGCAATGTAGCAGAACCTTGAAAGTACCTTTTATATACAGTAGTCCCTCGTTTATCACGGGGGATCCGTACTCTGAAGCGCCGCGATAAGTGAAAAACCATTAAGTAGGGATAGTAGTACAAGTTCAAGTTCAAATACATTAAACTTTGTATTAAGCCTTTAGAAACCCTTCACACCGAAACCTGACTGAACCCTGTAGCCGTCTGTTGTCTGCAGCTCCCAGGATCCGGGTCACACTGATTCTGGATCAACTGCAGCGCAGCTACTCGGCTGTGAAGATACAACTTGAAGGATGAGTTCAGCTTCAGGATTATTTGTGACTTTCCTGTAAGTCCCGTGAGCAACAGAACTTACAGAACTTCTGACTTTGCTGCAAAACTTTCTTGCAAGCAGTGGTTGAAAGAGCAGTGTTGACTTCCGGGAAGTGATGGCTTCTGGGTAACGTAGTTCTTTAGACTGGCAAAACAGTGAAGGCTTAATGAATGAAAACTACAAAATGGCGGCACTTTTTTTTTGTGGGCGTGCGGGGGATATTATGTACATATACAGTACTTAAAAAAACGCGGTAGAGCGAATCTGAGATAAACGTACCTCGAAGTAGCGAGGGACTACTGTAACTGCCTTCATGTTATATTAGTTTGTGCGTGTGTTTGTCGACGATATGGTTGAGGAGTCAGCATGCAGCATGTTAACTGGGTCCATGTTTCTAAGTTTTTGTAAGAACCCACGTTGTTATCATTCTTTTCCTACCTCTGTTCTACCCTCTTGACCTCACATTAATTAAGGAGGAGTCCGAACTTTGAGACTTTTAAGCTTGATCTTGTCTACGTGTTGAAAGTCTGATGGAAATGTAACGGGTCCAACAGCTGCACTTTGTTTGTACTGAATTGAATTGACCTGGTTCAGATCAAACTGAATTGGTTTGTTTGACGTGTGAAAAACATTTGAAGGTTGCTTTGAATATCTTAAACAAATCACAAGTTATAAATTGCTGTTGCTTAACATGGAAAGAAAAGTTAAGGTAGCATTTGAGGAGAAGCTGAAGATATCTGCTGAAACAAACTCACACTCACCCAAAACAAGAGCTGTTTAGTTTTATTGGACTGCATGCAAAACACTGTCTAACAAACATTTTTCAAGATTTATTTTGTCTTGCTGCCACAACAGGCCAACTATCCCACTGTCTTTCTGTTTGGTTTGTCTGTTAGCAAAATATCTCATGAACCACTGCAAGGATTTCAATGCAACTCTCAGAAAGTTATTGCTGGACATGCATCTACAACTGATTAAAATTTGGAGCTAATCAACTTTAGCAACACAAAATGCTATAACTCATTCAGTTGATGAGATGTTGAGTTGAAACGTGTTGTGGTAGTAGCTGAGAGTCAGCCTCAACACATACTTTGAGTGCTTTGAGTGTACAGATCAAGCAATATCTGTGTTTAGACTTTTGAAATAAATTTAGTTCCTTTTAAGGAATGATAGTTTTACTGTAAATTTATTGCTGTTAAAATGTGAAGAGGATAAGTTCATCAATCTTTAGGCTGGATATATGGCCTGCAGGCAAATGAGACCT